CACAAAGCAAAGGTCAAATTCAAACCCATGTCTTCTCTCACTTCCCCTTTCCTAAGGAGGATATATCTAACAAGTCTTCAGGGGACTAAGTAACTGGCAGAAGAGTTTAGAGGAGGATATAAAAAAAATAAAGGGCATCCCCTACCTCTAAGAGCCTGCAATCAAATTAATTATTAATTATAATTAACTCAGACTAATAATTACATACCAGTATATAATTAACAGCCAAAATAAATGTCACAGACAAATGACTTCTCAGGAGAAAGCTCAAAATCAAAGAAAGGACCTACTTCTCAACTAACCTAACCCATTGCTTCTAAAAGCTTAACTCTTCAAGGTCAAGAATTTCCTCAGCTCAATTCCTCTGGATCTGCAGCACAGGGTTCTGTTATAGGTCTACCTCTAGAGTGGCCAACACTTTTCTAGAAATTCTGTTACTGTGACCCACTTTCCCTATATCTGAGACACGACCTTCTATTTCCTCAGTGACCTTTTTCTCCCTTACCTATTTGTACTCTAGGAATCACCTTAGGCTAATACATCATGGGATAGCAGAAAGAATATATCTTAGATATAGAATTCAAGTTATGGCACTACTGGGAAAAGGATATATTAGCTTCTCTGTGACTTCAGTTTCACTATCTATAAACCAGGAGTGATAACTGAAACTATTCTTTTTAAAGGGTTGTTTCGAGGATCAAGTGAGAATGTGTGAGAGTGCTTTATAAGCTATAAAATGCTCTGGGCCAATTCAATTCTAAGCCCTTAGATTTGAAATTTATCTTCAACTCTCAGCCCAAGATCTTTGTATACTCCTTTGGCATGTATGCCCCCTTGGGCTCAGCTATCACTCTTCTGCATACAAGAGAAAGAGCAGAAAGAAGTCTTCTGTTCTTGGCCCCTCACCTATGAATTTCCTGTCCTCTTCTGGCTTTTCCTTACTTTTGTACAATCCCAAAGATTCTCTCAAGGTCTGGAGTAAAATTTATTATGAATGGTCAAAGGAAAAAAAATTTCCAAGTGAACGATCTTGGTTTATATTCAATATCATAACCAAAATCTTCATATTCTAAAATGTTTTCTAAAATTTCTACTCAGGAGTACTTATTAGTTATATTCTGAATAAAAAATTTTTAAACTGGGGATCCCTGGGTGGCTCCGCGGTTTAGCGCCACCTTCAGCCCAAGGCGTGATTCTGGAGTCCGGGGATCAAGTCCCGCATCCAGCTCCCTGCATGGAGCCTGCTTCTCCCTTTGCCTGTCTCTGCCTCTCTCTCTCTCTGTCTTTCATAAATAAATAAATAAATAAAAATCTTTAAAAAAAATTTTTTTAACTAAGGGAAAAAGGCTGTTTTTCCCTAAGTCGGGAAAAATTCAACAGAAGAGGACACAAAAATTCCATACCATGTGATCCCAAATCACAGTGGATAGAAGTTACATAGTTAAGAAAGCAGTTTTCAATAGCTGTATTACAAAATACTAAGGTGCTCTGAAATTGTGAAGTATATCACAAGAATGTTACAAGTCTGTGAATGATTTACATCATTCAAGTAAATTAGAGTGGAATCAAGACTTTTTCCTCTCACTCATCTACTTGCCTATATGATTTCTTGAACAGAAAGGAGTTATGGTTATTGCTCTCCCACCTCACGGAACTCCTCTCATCCATGCTATGGCTAGGTAACATGTCTGTACATAGATGCACATCAATGCCATGATGACAGGAAAAATGCTTAGAACCACTGTGATAGGGATCCCTGGGTGGTGCAGCGGTTTGGCGCCTGCCTTTGGCCCAGGGCGCGATCCTGGAGACCCGGGATCGAATCCCACGTCAGGCTCCCGGTGCGTGGAGCCTGCTTCTCCCTCTGCCTATGTCTCTGCGCCTCTCTCTCTCTCTCTCTGTGACTATCATAAATAAATAAAAAAAATTAAAAAAAAAAAAAAAAAAAAAAAAGAACCACTGTGATAGGGATCCCTGGGTGGCGCAGCGGTTTGGCGCCTGTCTTTGGCCCAGGGCGCGATTCTGGAGACCCGGGATCGAATCCCACGTCAGGCTCCCGGTGCATGGAGCCTGCTTCTCCCTCTGCCTATGTCTCTGCCTCTCTCTGTATGACTATCATAAATAAAAAAAATTAAAAAAAATTAAAAAAAAAAGACCGTGATAAACCAACATTATCAAAAAATGAAATTAGAATACAATTTTTTTTGTCCTCAAAATTTTGTCAGTTTTACATCACTTTTGCTAAGAGTAACAAAGAAACAAAATACATACTATGCAAAAAAAAAAAAGAAATTAACTTGTATTTTAAAAAGCACAGTGTAAGAGATAAAGCAAGATAGCAGCCAGAACACTGACCTCTAAGCCTGGTGCAAATACCATAAAGATGCTTACTGCACTCCTATCTTGATTTGAAAGATCTTTATTAGCTGTTAAATTTTGAAAACACTACATGTAGTACTTGTCAATGAGTGCAGTCAAGCAAAAACCAGCTTCATTTTGTATTTTTACAAAGCTGAGGGATCCCTGGGTGGCGCAGCAGTTTGGCGCCTGCCTTTGGCCCAGGGCGCGATCCTGGAGACCCGGGATCGAATCCCACGTCGGGCTCCCGGTGCATGGAGCCTGCTTCTCTCTCTGCCTGTGTCTCTGCCTCTCTCTCTCTCTGTGTGTGTGTGTGTGTGTGTGACTATCATAAATAAATAAAAATTAAAAAAAAAAAAAGCTGAGACTCACATCTGTGCTTTGATCTAAATTTAAAAAAGGAAATGAAAATTCATTATGAAAATAAGCAATGAGAAGGTAACTTTCTCCAAAACAAAAGCACTGAAGTTCATAATGTCATAAACAAAATAAAAACCCTATAATATATCTAAAAATTGGGTTTTAGTTGGGAACCAAGATTTTACTTTTTCAAAGGAGCTTTTATTTTTATTTATTTTTATTTTTTAAAGATTTTATTTATTTATTCATGACAGACACACAGAGGGGGAGAGAGAGGCAGAGACACAGGCAAAGGGAGAAGCAGGCTCCATGCAGGGAACCCGATGCGGGACTCGATCCTGGGTCTCCAGGATCTGGCCCTGGGCTGAAGGGGGTGCTAGCCACCCGGGCTGCCCAGGAGCTTTTTTTTTTTTTTTTTTAAAGCAATACACATTTATAGTTTTAAAATTCAAATATAAAAAGGTTAAAAAAATGCAAAAAGGTAACTCTCCTTTCTTCTGAAGCAACCTCTATTAAAAACTCTCATGCAAATTTTCTAGGCAGTACAAGTATATGTATGTTGTATATTACTCATCAAATTATGATTAAAGTCACTATCTTTCAAATCACTAAAATGCCTTAAATAAAACTTTTCAAAAAATAATTAGACTGGTTGCTCGAATTATTCAGAGCTTAGGTTAACTTTTAAAGCTAATGTTTCATCACTTATAATGGTGAAAAGCAGAAACTACATTCATAATCAACCTCAAATGAAAACTTTAAGTAATCCTTTTATTCAAAGTATCTTCTAAAATGTAGCCAGTTAAGGGGTGCCTGGCTGACTCAATCCAAAAAGCATAGAACTCTTGATCTTGGGATCACGAGTTCAAGCCCCCTGCTGAATGTAGACATCACTAACAAAATAAAACTTAAAAAAAATGTAGCCAGTAAAAAATGAAGTTTAGAAAATTTCTAAGGCCTTGGTAAAAAGCTCATTAAGTTAAACCAAAAAAAGGGGTGCCTGGGTGGCACAGTTAAGTGTCTGCCTTTGGTTCAGGTCCTGGGATCCCAGGGTCCTGGGATCAAGCCCTGTGTCATTGGGCTCCCTGCTCAGTGGGGAGCCTGCTTCTTCCTCTGCCTGTCCTCCTTGCTGGTGTTCTCTTTCTCAAATAAATAAATATCTTTAAATCAAACAAAACTCTAAGATACAAGCTTATATGGGTATCATATCTCATTCACACCAAAGATGCATTTTAAATAATTACATAAGAATGAAAGAAAATACATGTACAGAAATAACTTTTGAATGAGATTATAGATTTTGTTGTTTTGCGCATCATGTAGTACTATCTCTTGCAGCTTTTCAGTAACAAGTATGTCTTGTGTTTAAAAAAAAAAAAAAGAGAGGGATCCCTGGGTGGCGCAGCGGTTTGGCGCCTGCCTTTGGCCCAGGGCGCGATCCTGGAGACCCGGGATCGAATCCCACGTCGGGCTCCCGGTGCATGGAGCCTGCTTCTCCTTCTGCCTGTGTCTCTGCCTCTCTCTCTCTCTCTCTGTGACTATCATAAATAAATAAAAATTAAAAAAAAATAAAAAATAAAAATAAAAAAATAATTTAAAAAAAGAGGGGCTATTAGAAATCCATATCCAGTTCAGTTTTATTTTTTTTCCCCCAGTTCAGGTTTAAATAGAACAAAACAATTCATGAAAATAGTTCTACCAGTCTATTCTGACACCTGTAACAAGTAGGTTTATTTATTATAACTTCCATGAATCTGTAAGACAAAAAGACTACACAATACTGCTGTAACGAAGTCCATAAGCTTTGGGTCAAGGCAGAATTGGGTTTGAATCCCAACAGTACCAGTACCTTTACCCTGGACAACCTACCTAACCAGCCAGAGCCTATTTCCTCCAGTATAAATTAGGGATAACAGTATCTGACTTAGAGGACTGATGTAACCAGGTAAACAAAGTATGTAAAGGAACTCAAAGGACCAGCAAATATAACCATTAATAGTAAATATCATTACTGATATTCAAGCAGTTAACTGTTTTTTAATTTCAGACTCAAATAATTTTCAGCCCTTTTTCAAAATGGCTTTGAAAGTGCCCAAACTGCTCTTTACCCAATACAGGATCAACTCAAATGTGCTCAACTATAAAAACAATCATTCATATGGTTATGATTGATTTTTATTTTTTATATTTTTAATATATTTTTATATTTATATTTTTTATATTTTTATTTATTATATGGGTCAAAGCATGAATATACATATAAATACAAAACAAAAAAATACCTTTACTTATAAGCCTGTAGCAGTTGTCTAAGAAGTTGGGACACCAGCGGTTGAGAGTCTGCCTTCACCTCTGGGCCTGATCCCAAAGTCCAGGATCGAGTCCCACATCTGACTCCTTGTCGGAGGCCTGCTTCTTCCTCTACCTAGGTCTCTGCCTTTTCTTTGTGTCTCTCGTGAATAAATAAAATCTTAAAAAAATAAAATAAAATAACTAAGAAGTTTTACAATCTTAAAAAATCTTAATATACGTCAAAATATAACAAAGAACAGTTGGGAGTGCTAAACTTTTTGCAAAATCTTCACATTCCACATAATATCATTACCAATTTAGACAATTTAGTGTCTTATATTGAGGTTTTTGTTCTAAGTCCTATTAAATTATATGGAAAAAGATATAATTTCTTTTAGCAATGCACCTTTTACAAACCTAAAGTTGTAATTTTTTGTCATTTATTAGGCTTGTCCATTAGCAAGCCTACTGATTATCTAATTGATCCTCCCTGACCTCATGGGCCTTCCAATCAAATAGGGAATATAGGGACGCCAGGGTGGCTCAGTGGTTGAGCCTTTGGCTCAGGGCCTGATCCTGGATTCCCAGGATCAAGTCCTACATCAGGCTCCTTATATGGAGCCTGCTTCTCCTGTCTCTGCCTCTCTTTCTGCATCTCTCATGAACAAGTAAATAAAATCTTTAAGAAAAAAAAAAAGGCAAGATAGCCACAAACAGTTAAATACAGAAGGTGAAGTGATGGGAGCAGACATACGGCTATTTACAGAAACCTGAGGTGGGCAAGGACAGAGCTCTGGTAAAGGTCATGTGCGACCTGAGCCTCCAAAGATAAACAGCCAGGCTTAAAAGACCAGGAAGAAAGAAAGAAAGAAAAAAAAAAAAGACAGGGAAGAGTCTAAAGACAACCAATGTTTCTCTAGATTAACTAAGTTCCTCCACCACAAAAAAAAATCAACACACCAATCAAATTTAACTTTTTTTTTTTAAACTCATTTGGAAAGGGGTCTTGCAGTGAGAAATCTATTCAGTTATAATGACCCAATAATAGTTCAAGTAGTAAATCACCCAAATCAATGGAGAGAATGTAGGAAGAATTCAAAATGACTATACAAACAGATAGTAAGTGACAGGTTTTTTGGTATGTGGAACATAAAGAGAAAACACTTCAAATACTTTAAATTTACTGTAAGCTTGGTAGGCTCTCGATACAACAAAGCAAGAAGACCTAGAAGTCTTTGCAGACGTCACCTCCTTCTGCAACTTTGCCTGTGCAACTTCAGGCAAACAGACCAAAAAAAACAATTGGACTTCATTAAAGACTGGATTGGAAATGGGCAGAATACACTATTTGGCCCTTAACAAAAACATGGCCTTTCAAACCGAAGTACTATGTACAGTTCTAAACACTAGTTCAGAGGCAGCAGGGTACAGTGATTAATAGATGTGTTCAAATCCAACTTTCTGTCACTTACCATGTCACAGTTCCTTCACTTGTAAAATGGGAGTAAGAATACCTACCTTTGAGTTGTTGTACAATTAAATGAAAAACATGTAATTTTTTAGCATAGTACTTTTTTAAAAAAAAATTTTTTTTAATTTATTTATTCATGATAGTCACACACAGAGAGAGAGAGAGAGGCAGAGACACAGGCAGAGGGAGAAGCAGGCTCCATGCACCGGGAGCCCGATGTGGGATTTGATTCCAGGTCTCCAGGATCGGCCCTGGGCCAAAGGCAGGCGCCAAACCCCTGAGCCACCCAGGGATCCCTTTTTAGCATAGTACTTAAGGGTGTTCCCCAAAATGGTAGCTACCATTACTACTATAAAGCAAGAAGTAAATCTCCTAGAGAAATGTCATTAAAATATCAAGAGGGGAGCAGCCCGGGTTGCTCAGAGGTTTAGCCGCTTTCAGCCCAAGGCGGGATCCTGAAGACTTGGGAGCCTTCAGCCCAAGGAGAGTCCCACATCAGGCTCCCTGCCTGGAGCCTGCTTCTCCCTCTGCCTGTGTCTCTGACTCTCTCTGTGTGTCTCTCATGAGTAAATAAATAAAATCTTTAAAAATAAATAAATAAATAAATAGATAGATAGATAGATAGATAGATAGATAGATAGATAGATAAAAAAGATATAATACAATGTGGCCGTTCTCTGGCCCAAACACCAAGAATTACTGAAAAGAACCAAGGCACTGTCCTATTTTAAAAGGGGGAGGGGGCTAAAAACTAGGGTTTTTCCATATAAAGAACTCATCTAAAACAGCATGTTCAAGAGAAATACACACTTGTTCAGCAAGTTCATTCATTCAGCTAACATCCATTGAGTTCCTACTATGCAGTGAAAAGGACAGAGAAGGTCCCTATTTTCTCTGTTTAATTCCTAGTTTAAGAAATGGAATATAAAAAAAATAAGGAAATTCCAGGTAATACAAAATGTTATGAAGAAAATGGAAAGATAATTGGGGAGCAAACTCCTCAAAGAAACAACATATGAACTGAGACCTGAATGACATGAAATCAGCCACTGGAAAGTCTGGGAGAATATTGAAGCTACAGGGCACAGTAAGTGCAGATACCCTAAGGCAGGAACAAGCCTGGCAAGTTCCAGGGACAGTGCCAACAGGACTGGAAAACAGGAAGAAAGTGACGTGGCCAGGCTCCAGCTTACTAATGTAGGCAGAGGGATACAAGCAAGGTGAGTTAAGGGAAGGAGGCAGGGCCAAAACACGTAGTTTGGATTTTATTCTGACTGTGCTGGAAGGCTTTCCCAAAAAAAGGGTAACATAATCTGATTTACATTTTAAAGGATATCTCAGGCTGTAATATTCTCTTATATTCTCTGATATTCTCTTATTAAGGCTGTTAAGAGGAATGCACCATAAAAAGCCAAAGTGGAGGCAGGGAGACTAGGAGGTGAGAGTGAGAATGAGAGCTGGCAAAGGTAGAGGAAATAGTAATGAGAAGTAGTGGGCAAATTTAGAATGCATATATTAAACACTATCATTAAAGGCAAATCAGAGAAAAAGAACTAAGTCACACATAAGTAGTAAGCACCTGAGACTGATTACCCAAGAGATACAGAATAAAAATAGAGATTGAAAGGTTTTAAGTTAAGTTTGTGACTAAGGGACATGAATGGGTTATTAGTATATTGATGATACTTCCTAGTAAGTATCCTCTGAAGCTGAGGTGAAGGGGACATTTCCTTCTCTTTTGGCACCACCTAGAAGGCACTGGACTAAATGGGCATACATCCAAGACTCTTACTTGTGATTCATAAAGTAAAATCTTTCGGGACCTTACTGACAGAGGCCCGACCAGGTGGTCGGCTTTTGGAGCAGAACATAGCCATGGAAAAAGAAGTAAAGCTTTACCCAAATCAAATCACTAAATTAGCAAAACCCTTTTAAACTTCTATTATCAACTTATGCTATTCTATCCCTGCTCTCCCAAGAGTTAAACAAGAAAACCTTTTACTGTCACACAAAGCATATTAACTTCTTAATATTATCATAGAAGTCTGGGAGGAAATCTTTTAAAACCAAGATTTTAATCATTATGGTTTTGCAAACATACAGTGAATATATCCTAAAATTTAAGGTCCAAAAGTCCCTCTCTACGAAGATAGAAATTTTCTTACTCCAAAGTGCTACCATGTAGAAAAATCAGGTTACAGAAAAGCACACGCAGTATGATACCATTTTTGTGTAAAATGTGTTAACGGCCCAAAAAAAAAAAAAAAAAAAAAGCCTGGAAGGATATATAAATCACTACTAACATTTTGATTATCTCTGGATGGCAGGATTATCAATGACTTATTTTCTTTTTTTGCTTATCCATTGTAATGACTTACCAATTATAAGTTATTTCGTATAAGCTAAAATATTCAGTTCAAGTTACATAAAAGGTAAAAAAAAACAAAAACTTCGAGAAAACAATTTCATTTATCTAGATCAGCAGGATTTCAACTGTGGTATTAAGAAAAAAAGAGCTCAGCTGCATACACAGGAGAAAGCAAGCTGTTAAGAGGAGGTCCCTGGAACACCACACAAGGATACACCCTTCAAGGAAGCAGTCTAAACGCCTAAGCTCTCTTCCTGGATTTCATAAGGGGCAATCAATTGGCACATGCTTCTTCTTTCTTGCCATTTACCAAAGAAACACCTCCATTAATCACTTCTCTGGGGACATTTTTTTTTAAAAGGGGAGGGTTTCAAACACCAAGTTAGGGCAAAAAGGTCGGGTCCTCTGGTCTCCTCCGTGCTGTCGAGGGGCGCGCAGGGTGGCAGGGCTTGAAGCCGTCTACAGCAGAGGCATCTGCGTGGCAGATCACCTGAATTGGAAGGGAAGGCAAGCTTTCTGCAGCCCCCCCCCCTGAACTGGGCGGTGCGATCGCCTCCTAAGATAAAACTAAAACACCCGAAAGGTCTTACACCATCCAAGTTACTGTGCATGTGGAGCCGCCAACGGTTTCTGCAAACACACAGGAACTGGAAGGTCTCCTCAACAAACACAGGTATGACGTGCGTGAGGCTCATCTGACTTCTTGATGCCAAACCAAGACATTCTCTTAGTAAGGCCCTATCTTCAATTCTCCAAACTAGGACAACTCAAAACATCCTACTGACTTTCTACAGCTAGCAAATACCATCTTGGCCCAAACCCGAACCGCACACAGAAACAGCCACTTTGGAAAACTTTGGCTTTAACCGGCCACGCTAGACTTGCAAGCACTCCGGTAACCAGTTTGCTTTTATAAAGGGTGCTGCCTCTTTTTTTTTTTTACTGTCAGCTCTGGTTCCACTTACTGAACAAACAGAAAAAGAATACTTTCAATTCGCACCACAGTCAGGACCAAAAAAGCTCCCGCTTTCGGGATGGCAGCTTTCCTGTCTCGTCAATCACAACAAAGGACGCATCCTAATGACTTCATCAAACCTAGAGAAACAGAGGTAAAGGAGAACAGTGTGGATTTCAGGGTCTGTGGGGTTTTCCTTCCAGCTACGACTCTCTTTTTACTCCCATTATACGCCTCCACCCGAGCTGACGGTCTTGCCCTAAAAATAAAACCACCCGTAGCTACCCGTCCACTTTTTCCTGCTAAGCCCCGACTCTGGTTTCCTGCAGAGAAAGCCAAATTGCAGGCTCTTCTCCGCCTCGCTCTTCGCCGGGGGGCGGGGGGGGGGCGGGCTCGGCGGCCGCGGGCTTCTCCCGGTGCACAGGCACCAGCCCGGCGGGAGAACCGCCGAGCCGGAGAAGCCAGCCCCGCTCTGCTGCAGCCGCCGCAGTCCCCCAGAGCCTGAGGAGCCCCCAGGGTGAGGGGAGGGTGGGCCGGCAAACGGCGGTGGCGGAGGGGGAGACACTCACCCGCCCAGACAACAACCGACGGGGCGGGGAGGATGGGGGCCGGGACCAAGGCTCGGCAGAAAGACCGCCTGAAGCTTCCGGAACGCCGCGGCCGCCCGGGACGCCGCGGCCGCTGCTGCTCCTGGCCGCTGGCTTCCTCCCCTCCTCTGTTTTGATTCGACTGACCACGTCACTCTAAGCCACGAGACCCGGATCTGCCGGCTCCCGCGGGCGGCGGCGCAACAGATTGCAGCGACTCGAGACCCCAGCGGCCCGCCTGCGGAGCATGCGCGCGCCCCGCGCCTGCCCAGTGCGTCGGGGGAGGCGGGGCGGGCGCGGGCGCTACGGGCGCGAGCGACGCGCTCTCGGCGGGGGCGCGGCGCGCGGGGGTTGCAGTTCCGGTTGGGAGGGGTGGGGCCGAGCGCCGCGGAGTGAGGAGGGCGAGGCCCCGCGGCTCTGGGGAAGTGGCCCGCCTGACCTCTGTTTCGTCTTGGGTGAACCACGTCGTGGGCTGGGCGTCTGCCTTTGCCGGACTTGGTGGCTTTCTCAGACCCGAGGGCTTAGAATAGCGAGGGGACGAGTGGAGGCGGCCGCAAGTTCGCGTTTGCCGAAGGAAGGCTACCTCTGGAGAGTTGGTTTGTTGTTTTTTTTTTCCCCCCCTCAGGCCCCGACGAAAATAGAATTTAGTCCTATGCACAAAAGAATGTCAAATGTAAAAAAAAAAAAAAAGAAGAAGAAGAAGTATGTCAAACGTCGAAGTCCCCGGACCCCTGCAGCCTCCCTAACGTTCTCACAGCCGGAGAGGGGTCTGAAATGAAACTCAAGAGAAATGTTAAAGGGACTATCAGCAACCAGGGGAGATAGTGGAGAATGGGCAGGGACGAGGCTTTGTTGCGGGGACTGGGATGCTGGGTGAGGAGAAAGAACCTCGCTTCTTTTGGACCTGGTTGGTGTTTCCTACTCTCCCACCCTTCTGGCCTTCCTAGTTTCCCAGCTAAACCTTTGGGGCCCTAGAAACTGCCCAGTTTGGCAAAACTTGGAGCTACTTTGCTTTAGAACCATGAGTTAACAGACTTTTTAATGAGAACAGGACCAGTGGCAAACTCAAGATTCCAAGCAAAGATTTCACAAAGGCGTATCTTTGCCAATCTTGCAGAAGAGGTAAAAGTTAGCTGTTAAAAAACAAAACAAAAAGCCTCTTCCTAACACCGACTGGATGAGCTTTTCACCTCTCCGAATTGCTACCCATCAATTATTATTATTATTAAATCTTCTCACCTGAGTCACCTGCAGCACATTAGTCGTAGGATCTGCAAGGTCCTTTTAATGTACGTGGATGTCGCACACAGATAAAGACTTCTAGAAAATTAAGTCTCTGGTAAGACTCCAAAGTATTTCCTAGTTATTTAGCAGATTACAAGTGAATAGAAGCCAAACTTCTTGACCCTGAATCTGCCATCTTGAACTCGATTTACTCAAATTTAGAGAGCTTGAGGTGGAATCTAGTACCCTAATGAAGTTGAGGTGCTGACACTATAGCAGAGGGAACTTTCATTTGTGGAACAGAAAGTCTTGAATGCTTGGGCGCACTCATGTGCGCAGATGTGTTTGAGAACCCTGTTTAAAACAGTATGTCACAAAACTAAAATTGTAGGGGCTGTTGCAAAATTATCAATACTTGCTTTATAAAGTAACTTATAGGAAAATTAAGACATTAGGATCCGTGGTAGGCAGGCAGCTTCCAAGGTAACCTCCAATGATTCTCACGTCTGGAAATGTAGTCCCCTCCAGCCCTTTGAATAAGTACTAGTCCCATCCGTAGAATACAGCTGAAGGTGTGTGACTTCTGAGACTAGGTCATAAAGGCACTGATTGCAGCCTTTCACCTCATTCTTTTGGGTTGCTTGCATTGGAGGGAGCTAGTGTATACAGCACTCTGCTCAAGCAGCTCTATGAAGGACCATGTAGAGCGGAACAAGAGCCTTCAGCAACGGCCGCACCAACTTGCCAGCCATGTGAGTGACTGGGCTGATCTTGTAACCCCAGCCAAGCATTGGATGACTGCATCCCTGCCCCAGCATCTGCTTGCAATCTCATGAGAGACAGAAAGGGCCAGCTTTACTCACAGTGATGTGGGATCTTACGTGGTTTTTGCCCAATAGTAAAGTTCAATCAACGCTTCTAAACTTGAAACAGTTTAGAAAACAAGAAGCATGTGTGTAATTCTACTCATAATTTGAAGAATAATATAGAATTCCTACCACAGTACCTGGAACATAGTAGATACTGAATAATTACTTTTTTTTAAAGGTTTATCCATTTTAGAGACAGATTATGTACAAATGCTTGAGTCAGGGGAGGGGCAGAGGGAGAGAATCTTCAGACTTCCTGCTGAGCTCCAGTGCCCAAGGCAGGGCTCTATCCCACCTCTGAATAAATATTTGTTGAGTGGACACATAAAATTAAAAGACACACCGTTTAGAAAATGCTGGAAATATCGATAAAGGAGTAACACCATAATATATGAAGGACTCCTACAAATCAATAAGGAAAATATTAATGCCTCTAATACATGTGTAAGTATAGAGTATAAACTGATGATCCACACACAAAAAGGAGGTACAAATAACTAATTTTGAAAATTGTCAATCTCATCAAAATGCAAATTAAGGTGTACCTGGGCGACTCAATCAGTTAAGCATCAGGACTCTTAATCTCAGCTCAGGTCTTGATCTCAGGGTCATGAGTTTAAGCCCCACATTGGCCTTGGTGCTGGGCATGGACCCTACTTAAATAAATAAATACAAATTAAAGTAAGATCTTTTTTACTACTCTATGGAGAGTTTAAAGATTTTTTGTTTTTAAGTAATCTCTACACCCAACATGGAGCTCGAACTCACAACCCTGAGATCAAGAATCTCATGCTCCACCAACCTAGCCAGCCAGGCACCCCTGGAGATATTTTTAAATAGGAGTATCTAATATTGATACTGTTAGCACTATTGGTAGAAATTTAAGTTGACATTTAGCTTTTTGGAAGTCAATTTGAGAATATATACAAAGTTCTATAAAAATCACAGCCATTGGCTCAATTTCACTATTAGGAACTTAATTAAAAAGTTAGTAAGAGGGATGCCTGGGTGGCTCAGGGGTTGAGCATCTGCCTTTGGCTCAGGTCATGATCCTGGGGTCCTGGAATCGAGTCCTGCATTGGGCTCCCTGTGAGGAGTATCTCCCTCTGCGTGTCTCTCATGAATAACAAAATCATTAACAAAAAAAAAAAAGGTTAGTAAGATTATAAAGATATTAATTGCATTTATATGATGGAATAAAAATGTGGAAATGACCTATTTGAACAATGGTTATGGAATGAATAACTTTGTTGCATTGCATGTTAGGATCTAAGAAACTTTGAGTATAGAAGTAATTTAAAACAGATTTTAAGAAACTTAATCACATTTTATATGATGGAGAAAAAAATCTAGAAATAATCTAAACATAATGGTAATATAATGGAGGAATATGTTAAATTGTGTGTTAGGGATTAACAAACTTCAAAGTTTCTTCCCTTTCTGAACCAAACCCAACTTTGATTCTTGATCTAAAGAAGAAAGCATTCTGAGAGATTTTCCTAAAACTACTGACATTAGTTACTAGGGGTGGGAGGCAAGTGGAGAGGAGTAAGTGGTGAGGGACTCCTTATGACATTTTACCCTTTTGTATGGTTTGAATTTTTAAAGATCCATACATTAGTTTTGCAATGAAAACAATTATTAATTTTTTTTTACTTTTTTTTATGGTTGCATTAGGCTGCCTGTCTATATACAGACTGCCATAACAAAATACCACAGACTGGATGACTCAAACAACAGAAATTTATTTTCTCAAAGTTCTGGTGGTAGGAAATCCAAGATCAGGGTGCCCACAGAGTTGGTTTCTGGTGAGATCTCTCTTTCTGGCTTACAAATGGCCACTATCTGGCTGTGTCCCCACATGGCCTTTCTTCTGTGCAAAGGCCCTCCTGATGTCTCTTATAAGGACGCTAATGCTATTGAATTAGGGCTTACCCTTATGACCTCATTTAACTTTAATCACTTCTTTATAGGCCCTATCTTCAAATATAGTCACACTGGGTGGTAGGGCTTCAATATATGAATCTGAGACATAATTTAATCTATAGGAGTGGTTAAATATATTAACATAAAGTTTACCATTCTAACCATTTTTGAGAATACAGTTCTATGGCATTGAATACATTCATGCACCACCCAGGTACCCCTCACTTAGCATAATTTAGGGTCATCCATGTAGCTTATAGCAGAATTTCCTTTCTTTTTAAGGCTGAATAATATTCCATTGCATGTATATACCACATTGTGTTTATTTGTTCATCCACTGATAAAAACTTGAGTTACTTTCACCATTTGGCTTAATGTAAAACTTCTCTGAATATGAGTACAAATATCTATTCAAGTCCCTGCTTGTTATTCTTTTAGACATTCTTTAGACATTTTACATTCCTACCAACAGTGCATGAAAGTTCCAATTTCTCTGCATCCTCACAAATACTTGATACTTTTTTTTTTCATATTTTCCATCCTAATGGGTGTGAGGTGGTATATCATTATGGCTTTGATTTGTGTTGTCCTGATAATTAGTGATGTTGAAAATCTTTACATGTGCTTATTGGCAATTTGTATATACTTCTTTAGAGAACTGTCTATTCAACTACTTTGTTCATTTTTTAATTGGGTGGTTCTTTTTTTGTTGTTGTTATAGGATTTCTCTATATAGTCGATATTAATCCCTTATAAGATAGATATATAATTTGCGAATATTTTGTTTCATTGCATGTGTCCTTTGCACTGTTGCAAAGTGTCCTTTTTCACTTTTCACTCTGACAATGTCCTTTGCACAAAAGTTTTAAATTTTGGTAAGGTCCAATTTATTTTTTTCTTTTGTTTCCTATGCTTTTGGTGTCATATCCAAGAAATCATTGTCAAATTCAATGATGCTTTTCCTCTGTTTTCTTCTTTTAAAATTTATTTATTTATTTATTTGAGAGAAGGAGAGAGAAAGAGAGAACACAGAGGGAGAGCACACAGAGGGAAGAGAGGGAGAAGCAGAGTCCCCGCTGAGCACGGAGCCTGACACAGACTCAATCCTGGTAGACCCTGAGACCAGGACCCAAGCTGAAGGCTGATGCTTAATCAACTGAGCCACCCAGGTGCCCCCCTCTGTTTTCTTCTAAGAATTTTATAGCTTTAGCTATTAAATTTAAATATTT